GCGATTTTGGCCCTAGAGCGGCGCGATTTCTGCCGTCGCGGCGCTCTGGCCAGCACCAGCAATTCTGCGGCACGAGCGCCGCGACGGCAGAAATCGCGCCGCTTTAAGCCTATCGTAATCGTAATCGTAATCTTTATTGGCTCAGGAGAGCCGTGGCACCGCGGAAAGGCGACAGCCCGTACCAGGGAGGCCCGCGGTGCCACGTCTATAGTGATGATGATGATGAGATGATATATACTAGTTCACATGCAGCGATTTTGGCCCTAGAGCGGCGCGATTTCTGCCGTCGCGGCGCTCTGGCCAGCACCAGCAATTCTGCGGCACGAGCGCCGCGACGGCAGAAATCGCGCCGCTTTAAGCCTAGTTCACATGCAGCGATTTTGGCCCTAGGGCGGCGCGATTTCTGCCGTCGCGGCGCTCTGGCCAGCACCAGCAATTCTGCGGCACGAGCGCCGCGACGGCAGAAATCGCGCCGCTTTAAAGGGGTACTCCGCCGTTTTCTTCATAGTCCCCGATTTGCCTAAAAGCTTGCTAGACACACCAACAAACATCGCTGAACTAGTAACCCAAATATTTGGACAAAATAACGTTTTTTCGTGCAGTTACAGAATTTACAATTTTGGACCTCATCGTGTTTTTCAAAGTGAAAAGCTCTACGGGCAACATTGAAAAAGTGACGTCATGGTTGTGTAGGAGTTCACTCTTTGGGCTGTAGACTTTGTTCACATCTGATTACAAACAGTTTCATGGTGTCAAATGAATGCTTTGTAAGGTCGCTCCAGCCCCCGCGCAGCAGCGCGATACAAATGCTCAGCATAGTTCATATTTAGACTGCCTGCTCGAACTGCAATCCAGCCCAACCGTGACGTCAGGGCAATGAAAAGCGCGGGTATATTCGAATCTTCGTTTTGGCGTCGTTTTCATTTGCCGATTTCACAAAAACTATTCTGAATTTCACGATACTAAATAGCATACCGAAAAGAGTAACTGATGGCGATTTCGAATATATGGTTAGTTGGGGTTGCTCAAAATATCGCCGGAGTTCCCCTTTAAGCCTAGTTCACATGCAGCGATTTTGGCCCTAGGGCGGCGCGATTTCTGCCGTCGCGGCGCTCTGGCCAGCACCAGCAATTCTGCGGCACGAGCGCCGCGACGGCAGAAATCGCGCCGCTTTAAGCCTATCGTAATCGTAATCGTAATCTTTATTGGCTCAGGAGAGCCGTGGCACCGCGGAAAGGCGACAGCCCGTACCAGGGAGGCCCGCGGTGCCACGTCTATAGTGATGATGATGATGAGATGATATATACTAGTTCACATGCAGCGATTTTGGCCCTAGAGCGGCGCGATTTCTGCCGTCGCGGCGCTCTGGCCAGCACCAGCAATTCTGCGGCACGAGCGCCGCGACGGCAGAAATCGCGCCGCTTTAAGCCTAGTTCACATGCAGCGATTTTGGCCCTAGGGCGGCGCGATTTCTGCCGTCGCGGCGCTCTGGCCAGCACCAGCAATTCTGCGGCACGAGCGCCGCGACGGCAGAAATCGCGCCGCTTTAAGCCTAGTTCACATGCAGCGATTTTGGCCCTAGGGCGGCGCGATTTCTGCCGTCGCGGCGCTCTGGCCAGCACCAGCAATTCTGCGGCACGAGCGCCGCGACGGCAGAAATCGCGCCGCTTTAAGCCTATCGTAATCGTAATCGTAATCTTTATTGGCTCAGGAGAGCCGTGGCACCGCGGAAAGGCGACAGCCCGTACCAGGGAGGCCCGCGGTGCCACGTCTATAGTGATGATGATGATGAGATGATATATACTAGTTCACATGCAGCGATTTTGGCCCTATAGAGCGGCGCGATTTCTGCCGTCGCGGCGCTCTGGCCAGCACCAGCAATTCTGCGGCACGAGCGCCGCGACGGCAGAAATCGCGCCGCTTTAGGGCCAAAATCGCTGCATGTGAAACACGCTTAACCCCCCATTCACACTGGAAGCGGATCCGCGTTCGCGAAGCGGTTGCGAACGCGGTTGTATAAAGATTCAGTACAATTGCACGCGCACTCGGTGACATCAAATGCGCGTGCAATTGTACTGAATCCTTATACAACCGCGTTCGCAACCGCTTTGCGAACGCGGATCCGCTTCCAGTGTGAATGAGCCCTTAGGGCCAAAATCGCTGCATTTGCGTCTAGCTGTTGCTATGGCGACACGACGAGCCAACGGGGAGGCGATGTGCAGCACGAGGCAACGCAGTCGACGCACCTGTGTAAACTAGTTAAGTGAGCGACCCGTAGAAGCGAATGGCGACGGAGCACCCGCTCGTGGCATGTGTCTTGCACATTTCGACGACAATATTTAGCGATACTTATTTAAAAAAAAAACGCATTTTTTTAAGAGGCTTTATTTACAAGCGGCTCTGCTTACAAGTTGTGTACAGCGCGACGAACGGCACAGATGCCGCAAGAGCTCAGCTCTAAACATGCGGCAGTCAAATTTATTTTATAAATATTTAAATAACGGGAGGAAAGAAGAAACATGGGTAAAAGTCTACATTTGTTCAAACAACAGAAGCGTGTGTCCAGCTGCAGCGCAGGCCTGACGGCCATCGCTTCGGTTCACTACAGTCGCTGAACATTTTTCTTTTCTTTTCCATGAGACGCGGAGAAGAGCTGTGGAAAACGGCGTCTTTCTGGTCAGAGGTCCCGTAATGACCCCAAATTATTCCATCGGTCCAGGTTTTGATTCCAAACATGACCTGTGTTGGCATTTTCTGTCTTATATGCCGTTAGAGGCTAGAATATCACATTATAAAGTCACTGGATCCTGGGAAAGTAGCGCCATTTTGGTTCATGGAATCAGCAGTTTCTCAATGACCTCTCCATTCTTTGTGAGTTGATCCACATTCCCGGTGACAGGTTGCTTCGTAAAGACATTTCTTAAATAGCGAGATTTTGTTATCCACAAACCGGCGAAACAAGCGGACATCTTTGCACCGCCACCACATGCGGAGTCGGTGTTTGGCGACATTAAAAAACATATTTCGTGTCTTGAAATGCGCAAGAACAACAATACTGTCGTAAGAGTTCTGTGGAGATAAGCATGACTGATAAATCTATTGCGTGCATAGTGCCAAGTACGCTTATATTGGCCAGGAGTCGCTTTCGAAGATTTGAATGGAGCTAAATGGCGATTTCCATGGCAACGGAGATCGATCAGCCATTCACCTTGCGAGGTTTTAGTTGTCTGCATGTTCGTGCCTGGTCGTGCTCGGCTAGCAGACAGGGAAGGCAATGGCGCTACTTTTCCAAGATCCAGTTATCCAGTTGCTTGAGCCAGAGGAGGCTATTGTAAACAAATGCGTATAGAAAAAAAAAAAAAAAGGAGGGGAGAAAAAAAAAAAGAGACCACATGCAAAAAGGACAACCATGCATTTAGTGTACTCGTGATTTATTATTAAATTTCCTCCATGTTAGAGGGTTCCCGCACGGATAGTTTCGCCCGAATTTCGGTCCCGGAAAATTGGGAGTATGTGATCACGCAATGATCACATACATAAAGTCGAATTTCCACATTGCCGCACTAATACCGACTACAGATCATTCATACCTCGTACGTCTGTTGACTGGAAACACCTTTCCACATCCATTGCCACAATTGTTAATCCTGTTGATTTTAAAAATGCTGTATCCATACTACTAGAACTTGATTCATGATTTGAGTGTTCTATTAACTTGTACGCAGCGGCGTAGACTTTCCATTTTCCCGGGGGAGGGGCAGTATGAGAAGTTCTCCGGGGAGGGGGGGGGGGGGGGGGGGGGTACTGCGCGCAGTGCTTAAAGCCTCCCGCAAGCTGAGGGGGGGTCTCTACAAGAAGGTTGGGGGGGGGGGGGGGGGGGGGGGAAGAGGGGGGTTTCACGAGATGTACTAGATGCACATAAAATGAACTCCACTGCTGACTCTACCCACTCTGCACCTGTAACCCGCAAATTGATAATCCCAAAATAAATGTTACATCCCTGAAAACGAAGCTATTTACTCAAAGAGATATTTATACTTCACTAATGCTGGGGCTGTGGAGGAGGGTCTCAGACCATCCTTTAAAATCAATGGGGGGGTCCGAGACCCCCTGAGACCCCCCAGACTTTAAGCCCTGGCTGCGCGTAACCTTCTCGCCATAACTGGAGATTGAAGCTAACGAAAGCACGCTGGGATTCCATTTCCCATGCATTTTGTCAATAAAGGCAACGTGGGCGTTATTTTGTTTACATGCCACTATAGAAGCTCGTTACATGGCACGTAAACAGCGTCACGGTAAGGATCATAGCCCGGGCTTGGGGAAGGGGAGGCTCTGCCCCCCCTCCCCCCCCCCCCCCCTTCCCGGATCTCAACAGGGGGGCACGAGTCCCGATGCCCCCCCCCCCCCCCCCCCCCCCCCCCCCGAAGTCTACGCCTATGCTTGTACGTAATAATCTCACCCCCTCTGTAATGCCTTCGGGCCCTGAGGGTACCGATAAATGAAATGAAATGATCACCTGATGCAAATCCAGTACGAACCCTTCACAGAACGTCTTCGATAAAGACCGTTCACTGACCTTGATGGCCCAGTTCACTGCTTGAGTGACGAGTCTTGCGACCTCGTTGCTGACAACTCCTTTTCCAGAATTTCGCGGCGTTTTTCTTTTCTTGTTTGAACCGAAACTAAACAGCGACCCGTTGAGCGCACAGATAAATTGTCCTAATATCACGAAGACCGAGTTAAATCCAGATGCACCTCATCCACAACTGGAAGACTCGGGGGGGAGTCGGTTCCTAATGGCAGGACGATAATAGCTGGCAAAAAGTTTGCATATAAGAAGGGTTTGGATTTGGGCTAGTTTGTTGAACACGTTTAGGGGTTTAACCCCTAAACAAATTTGCATATAAGCTAGTGGGCCTTTCAGAGGATGCATTTTGAAATGCCCATTTTTAAAGACAACGTCTACTGTCTGCTTCATTCGCAAGATTTCGTTTGCTTACTTTAGGGCGGCCAGGTGAAGAGGTGTGAAGCCATCCGCCGTGATGTTGTCCACGTCAGCTCCGACTTTGAGCAGCACCTGCGGCGAAAACCATAACAGGAAGTATGTGGTCTCATCTCACTTTGTCTACACGGTCTCCGAAAGTATGTAACACTTACTCGAGTATTATACATGGTTAAAGCGGCGGTACAACAATATCCAGTTGAAATGTTTTATTTTCTTTTTACTTTAAACGTGCTTACAGGCACTAGTGGGACTCAAGGATACTCGCACGCAATGCCACTGGTCAAGGAACTCCTTTGTTGCGGTGTAATATCGAGAACAAAAGCGTGCGTTTTCATTTAATCTCTCCTTCGTGAAACTTGATGACGTAACTGGGGGATCGCGGTATCCTTCAGTGACGATATTTGAATGCGGCTCATAGATTGAACCCGGGCATTGCGTGGGCACCCGATATGGGCTCTTGTTAATCGATAGCTCGGAAGCATTCGGGTGTCCAATCGCTACAACGACGACAACAGCTGAATCCTAAATATGTCTAACTTGGAGGGGGATCGGTGGCCGAGTGGGCTGAAGCGCACACCTAGCTCGACGCGCGTGGAGCGAAAGCTCGCGCTGCAGAACCCAGGAATCCTGGTTTCGAGCCCCACCCCTGCCCGTCTCGATCTGGATGAGCATCGTACCGGCGTGCGGTCGTGTATCACTACTGCGTGATGCTCATCCAGATCGAAACTGGCAGGGGTGGGGATTGAGCCCAGGATTCCTGGGTTCTGTAGCGCGGGCTTTCGTGCACGAGCACCTGCAGCTCCTTTGGAGCGAAAGCTCCACGGAAGCTGGACGTGGAGCGAGCTTTCGCTCCGCGTGTTCCGAGCTGGTGTGCGCCAGCCCCTTCGGTCACAGGATAGCCAGGGGTGGCCAGGCTCACCCGGCCTAAGAGCCGCTCGCGCTTCATGACTTCCGCCGTGCTTTGGCTGTGTGTGCGCGCGCGAGGTGCACGGCACGAAGAAGCGTTGTCAAAGGTAGGAAGCGAGCGCCAGAGCCGAACACTGAAAATGGAACCGGCCAGGAGCGCCATTTTTTGGAAGGTCTGTAATAAGCAAATCTTAGCAAAAGCGGAGCGGAAGTTCGTCTGCTTCTTGAGCAGCAGTTGTGGTGACGTCAGTACGACGCCGAGCTCTGATTGGTTCTGAATGAAGGATAGTGGGTAAACCTCGAGGCAGCTTGCTTCGAGGTCTACCCACTATCCTTTAATCAGAGCCAATCAGAACTCTGCGTCCCTCTGACGTGTCCGCAACCCCTGCAAAAGAAGCAGACGACTTGTTCTCCAGTTAACGTGTTGGCGTTTCCCTTTACCTCGAGGCAGGAGTTGTGTCCGTTCATGGCGGCCAGGTGCATGGCCGTGTAACTGGTCGGGTCCAGCGCGGCCACATCGGCTCCTTCCAGCGCTAGATACTGTGAAGGGAGAGATGCAAACAAAACATAGTTGGGCGAAGCTGACCTGGACAGCAGCACGCAGCAGAATTATTTGTGTGCACTCTTTGTGAAGTGACGCGTTATCACTGACGTCCCTGCAGACTTTCTACCAGGAGTTGACCTTCTTCACCCATATACGATGAAACAGTAGCCTGATACTCTACTATGTAGTTAAAAAAAAAAAAGAACTTGCTGGGATTGATGGACGAGACCGCGCACACACAAATCTATACGCCTTAGTGCGCCTTTTAATTTAATTAATTAATAAAAAAAACTGCTCTTGGTTTTGCCGTTGCAATGAGCGCCACATAATACTACTACTCACGTGTGGACACGCAATATAATTTTGATGGGGGCCATTTTGTCCGGATCCTCATTTTGTCACGTGATAATGGGGCCACCAGAGCGAGCGGGCTTACCTTTACGACCTCCGATTGTCCATTGGCAGCCGCTAGGTGGATGGGGGTCCAGCCTCGTTCGTCTACTGTCCTGAAAAAGGAAAGGAAAGCAGAAGCCTGTTTAGGGTGGCGTTGATTCATGAAAGATTAAGGATAACCTGTGGCTGTCCTCAGAAATCCAACCCAATCGACGTGTGTGTTTATCCCTTCCTTGTCGTCAGTTTGCCTCCTTTTAAAATTGCGTGTAACCTAAACCGGCTCGCCTGTTAACTTTGTCTTCAACGGACAGAAGCGGGCACATTTTTTGTCCTACCAATAGATGATGGCAAACACCGAAACGTCTTTGAGTGTCATTCGAATGCTCCTTTATATTCCGCTTCCCGTAACATAGTGCCGGATTACGAGGCCGCTGCATGTGGCACGCTTAGCCGCCAGATTTGACCGTCGCGAGTGCTGCGGTGAAGACTGTTACTACGCTCTGTCTTACAATAACTTGGAAACACGAAGAAAGCTATGGACAGACTGCCCTGTATGCAGCCACATCAGCGTCCATTTTGGTGGCCTTTGCTGCTGAGTGCGCATCTTCTGCAACGTATACGTTTCGCACCCCTATATATATATTTTTTATTACGATAGGATGAGGTAGGAAGGGCATGCGTAGCGATTGGAGTATGTGTACGAAGAAATTGCCTCGTAAGCTTTCTACGCCATTAATACGTTTGAACGACAGTGTACGTACTCCATGCGCTTGGAGTCGCTCTTGAGCAGGAGCTTGATGACGTGCAAGTCGCCCGTTCGCGCGGCCTCGTGGATGCTCAACTGGGCCACGAACTCGGCCTCGGTCATCTTCTTGTACGACGGCCCCACGCCGAAGTCGCCCTCGTCTATCTCCGGCTGGCCGGGGGAGGGAAAGAGACACACGCGCATGTCACTTCTCGATTTCCCTAACGTATTTTCTCGGTTTCTTAGTTTGACAGATCTGAATATTTTTTTCAGTCAAGGAAGTTGCCTCGCAACTCGGGAACTATCAACGTTCATAGTCCGTTGCAGCAAAGAAGTTCGTGCAACAAATGCTCAACACTTGAATAGACATTTTGCAAAGCGTGCAGCGCCAACAGCAGCGCCCACGGAAATGCCGGAAGCTGGCTGCATACAAAACCGGCTGGAATAGACGACGAACGACACATATGCTGAAGAGGATCAGGACGTTCTCATGATTCATTGCGCTTAGTTGGTACGTGAATCACCAGAATACACCTAATATTTAGTGTTACTGTCTAGGAATAAACATAAAAATATTTTATTTTTATTCCTAGACAATGGACACTTACTTCCGTCCAGTTCTAGATAGTTATTTTGTTTGTTTGCTTGAAAATAGGATGCACACGTAACAATAACCAAAATTTGAGCGAATTTAGCTGGTATACTTCATGGAACACAGGCCATCTGCTGGGCTGCGTTCCTGATGCCGTAAAGTCGGCCATAACAAGAACCAGAAATTTCAGTCGGTACAAGGATTAAGCATTCTGAGTGTCGAATGCTTCGTCACCGGCGGTGTTCATGTCAATACTGTTCCAGGTCCGGCCTACCTCCTGAGGTCACGCCAGTTAGCACAGCAATCTTCTTGACAGGGCGCCTCCTTCATATTTAAACCTCCTCCTCCTCCTCCGTACCCTTCCCTCCTTCTCCTTCATATCCCCCTCTTCCCACAGTTTCCCCGCTAAATTTAGCTGAAAAATTGACGCCACGTCACTTCAACACCAACTCCGTTTCCCCGCTAAACTTAGCGGGGGAAATGACGTCACATGACTTCGTGTCATGTCACCTATGAACGAATTCAGTTTCTCCTCTAGATTTAGCAGAAAAATTGACGTCACGTGACCTCAACACTAATTCAATTTCCCGCTAAATTTAGCGGGGAAACTGAATGCGCAGTCTTGCATTATGGGACGTCACATACCTACACACCAATTCAGTTTCTTCGCTACATTTAGCGGCGAATTGAATTGGTGTATAGGTTTGTGACGTCCCATAGTGCAATGCGCGCGGTTACGCCGACGGTGACGGCGACGCCGCGAAACGCGGGAACGAGCGCCGGAGAGCTGCGCTCCGAAATACGCCAGTTGCATTTCGCGCGCGCTGTATGCGGTTAGCGTTTGAACAGTGTGGGCTTGACGGCTTGGTCTCATGCATCTTGTCACGCAAATAGCGACGCAAACGCGAAGCGCGTACCTTAGCCTTGTGAAGGATGTCACTGGTGTCGATTTCGATGGTGGGCCTCAAGAACATCGGCGCCGAAGAAGGACCGGCTTCGCTCGATTGGTCGCCCTCGGCATCGCCTTGGCTACGAGTGCTGGTGTCAGGATCGGCTTGAGCTCCGGCTTTCGTCTCGCCTTCAGCGGTGGCTTCAACGCACGCTTCAGCACTGGCTTGACTGGTACCTGCTGCGACGTCTGGTTCGTAATGGACATGGGCTTTGTCGTCGTCGATCCTGCTTTCGCTGGCCGTGGTAACCTCGGACACGTCTTCGGTCCCCACGGACCGCGTGTCTTCGGCATCCGTCGAGGAAATCTGCTCGCTGGTGACCAGTTCCGTGTCTGGATCTGTTTCCCTGGCCTCCTGTTGGAGACAAAGGAGAAACAGAACAGGTGTGTGATGGCAAAACAGAACATGAGGGCAGTCCAAGCTGGAAGGACTTGAAACAAAAGCTCTTGGAAACATTGAAGTGTTAGATGGCCGTTCGCTACGGTGCCCGGAACACGTCTTAGACCACAGTCACCGAGAAGGAGGGAAAGACAAAGAGGAGCTTCAGTTGTCCCGCCACCATCGCGATCTTCCTACCTTCGACAGCGGTTCGAAGTCTCGTATACCTCCAGCCCGCACGCGGAGCCAAAGCGCAGCGGAAGGCACGGAGCGCGTGCTGAAGGCTGGGCGTTCGAAAGACACGCCCTGCTGTTTTCTCTTTATCTGTGACTAGTGTACTTCGCGTCCCATTCCGCCCACACATTGGAAGTGGACGGGAGTGGCACAGATGACGTCACGAGAGCCAGCCCGGCATAAGCTGTCAGATGTCGCTCTCCTGGCAATTGGTCATGGAAGTTACAGCAAAACGTACGAGCGAACTCGTGTCGCTGTCGTCGTGGCATCCCAACTTCCGGCCGTAAAGAGCGACCTGCAGCTGAACAGGATCTACCTTTGCTGCTTTGCCACCGCCAGCTAGGATCGCGGCAGGCAGCAGCATGACACTTCTATGTTACAGTCAGGGGAAAATTAAGGAACCATTTTTGGGGACGCCGTAAGCACGCACCAGATCGTTTTGCCAAGGGAACTAACTTTACATGGATTAGGTTCAAGCCTGAAGAGGCTAAGACTCTTAGTGAAAGTTCGGCTGCCACTCTGATTCTTCCAGGCTGTTTCTTGTACACCTTTGGGATCGTAAAAAATTTGACTGCGAATTTGGTCTGTCTGCTCGGCTGCCTCTCTCTGACATTGGTACATGTGTGCTCATCCAAACTGCACGCACACTCACGCGGCTGCGACGTCGCGCCTCTGCGGTGGCGCTGCTGTCAGCACTGCGCATGCGCAGGCGTTTCACCTCATGCGAATCGCAAGCCATATAACCTCCGAATTTCTGGAGGCGTGCCTCCAGCAAATAAAAATTCGTGGCGGAAAAAAACATCACGTGAACGAGCAAAGAGGGGAGCCGCCTGAACATACCTCCTGGTCTTGCAACCTGGCTTGGTGGATGGACGTCGGTGGCCAGCTGAAGGGTGCCCCCTCCGTATTGCTCCCGAGGTCCCCCCTATGAAGGATGAAACGAAGGCGGTGTTCGAGAGAATGGGGGTGCCGGACACCGAATAGTATTTTTTTGCACGAGTACGTCTCCATGAGAACGTGAGGCGGCCACGTGCCCATAACTATCGATTTGTCGCTTTGGATAGCCTCTTGATGTGATTGCCCAAAGGTGAGAGGCCATGTTAGGTAAGGCTGCATGGGAGCTTGTGTAGGGTAGGCCAGTCCGGGGGCTCTACGTTAACTACTCGGCAAGACCGCCGACCGCCGCAATTGGTCAGCGCCAAAGTGCGGCGGTGGCCAATCGCAACGGTGGCGATCTCAACGACTTTCTCGCTGAGTGCCCAACTAAGAGCCTCAGGTGAGGTTCGGTGGCGCTAGGTTAACGTTAACAAGTTAGGTCAGTTCGGGAGAGAGGTCAGGTGAAGTTAAGGTGTCAGACCAAGCCGCGCGAGGTCGGGTCTAGGCTGGTGAGATTAGGTGAGCGTAAGGATGAGTAAGTTCAGTAGGGTCGATCAGTCCAGGACAGATGTTCGGTTAAGAAAAGTCATCGGGGTAAAGTTAGGTTAAGCCAGTTCATGGCAGGGCAGGTCCGCTTAGGGTAGCTAGAGTATAGCTACAACCTGCTGCAGCTTTCGAATAGCGGGGCAAGATCCTTCCATAAAGCTCTCGGCACGCCATGATTGGTGGTTCCTTCGTCTCTCCTCGTCTCCAGCGTTCGCTTTGCTAAAGTGGAAAGAGTGGAATGTCTTAAGGAGGAGCTTAGTTGTACCGCTATTCTTAACCTGCTACAACCTATAGATAAGTCAGAGAAAGACATCGAGGTGAGGTGAGGAGAAGCTTAAGCCAGGTCAGGTAAGGGGAGCTAGAGTAGGGGAGCTTCAGTCCAGATCAGGTATGCTGTAAAGTCGCTGTGACACTCACAATACATCATTCAAAAGGCAGTCTACAGACACTGCCTGAGGCATGCTTCTTCATGGTATGACGGTCGTCACATTGGGCATGCGAAGGCTGTCTGCAGATATATGCTTCGAAGCATAAAACAAACATATGCTTTGGACATGTCTCAGGCCTGTTGTTTCGTATAATGTATGAGCAGACTGATTGCGGCTTAGGCAGCGTAGGTGTCTGGTAGGTGAGGTCCTCACCCGAAGTCGACCCGGTCTTCCTCGTCGGTGTCGTCTCTGTTGTCCGAGACGGAGGCGAGCGCCCCCGAAGCCGTCGTCGTCCCCGAAGACGAGGACGAGGACGAAGAGCTCCGCCCGCTGGACCGACTCCAGCTTGAGTCCTGCTCCTCGGAAGAGGACGTCTCGCCGTAGCCCGTGTCTCCGGCCGCCGCCGGGTCGCGGCTCTTACGCGTCGCGGGGCTGCGCGGTTTGTCTGTCCTCTGCGTGCAGACACGTCCCCCCAAAAAACAGAACAGACAGTGAGAATCAGAAGGGAGTATTCACGCACGAACTCACGGGCAAACGCCTGAAGAAAAAAAGAGTGTCTTGGAGTGCTTAGATATAGAGTTCTATAGAACATACATGGTGTCTAGAGTGCACCTTCGGTGACTAGTATGTTTAACATCTTATGCAATGTTCATATATCGGACTCAGTCCCAAAAGTGGCAAGTCGCAGCTCGTTCCAAGCGCCGTACACAATACAAAGAACTAACACCCTTAAAGGTGTAATGTTGCTCGGAGTTCTGGCAGACACATTAAAAAAAGGGTCCTAAGTTCTTAGCAGCACCCTAGACATATTTATACGAGTAGCAGGTTCATAAGCAGCACGCGCTAAACAGTTGCACATGCACAACAACCATAAATACAGACGCAATAAAACATGCACGCAACCTCAGTTATGAAATTTACTCCTTCGCGGTTGATCGCGCCTTAGCAGTTACGAAGGTTACACCTATATTATGATTATAATGCAATTATAATGTAAAGGTGCTAGCGAGTTGGACAAGAATGACGAAAATAATCCCGGGAGTAGGGAACAAGAGGGACAAAGGACAAACACAAACACAATTGTGCTTGTCCTTTGTCCCTCTTGTTCCCCTTCTCCAGGAATTATTTTCGTCATACAGGTATGTTGCTTTTTTCGTCAATATTTCACATAAAGCGTAATATCTTGAAATTAATGTATCTCCTATGTCAAAGGGATTGAATAGGCCATGTATAAACGACCTTCTTTGAGCTGAAGCGGGTATGATGTCGTGAAAACCATTTTCCACACCTTTAAAAAATGGAGGGTGTGGTCATGTAATAACAGATTTTTTTATTAAAAGTGGGTTCATTGCCAGAGATGAGGGCGCTGAAAGGGTGTAGCCATATGCACACTGTTTACACCCTTAAGGGTGTAAAATGTCTTTTTTGTGTATAGGTGTTTACCTGAGGATGCGAGTCGTAGTGTAGGGTTCTCCTGAAATCGGACGTCGGGTACGCGGTCGTCCATCGCACCGACGTGCTGCTGCTGCTGACTACGCTCGAGTCCAAGTCCGAGGTTCGAACGTCCCTCGAGTGAGCCAGGTCACTTGGCGCTGCTGACGACGCCTCCGGGTCAGGGTCTGTGTGGTCGCCCGTCAAGCAGCTCTCGCCATGTCGGGGATCTGCGAGATTCGTCATCTCTGTCGTTGGTTTGCTGAATACAAGTTACAAACGAAGGATCTTCGTACATTAACCGAGTTAGCAAACTTCTTCGGAGTTGGCGTCTTGTATTGGGGACTCCTGAGGCATGTTTGAGAAATTTCTCGAGCAACTTGGGACAGGGTGGCTAACCACAAGGATCATGTAGGGAACACAGAGCGGGCTACTGGAATAATACGGGGAAATTCGTACAAAGACGAATTGTGGAGGGGAAATACCTCAATTTGTACACGACAGTGAAAACAACTAAGTCCAGAACTACTCAAAAATCCAAATCAATTGAGTGTTCGTTTTATAAAGAAACGTTTTTTTTTTTTTTTTGTTTTTTTTACTCACAATTACGCGATTATTGCGATCTATCATCATATGTATTCCTAGTTGCTGAATCCCTGCTGTGTGCGGACGGCGGTTCTTCGAGTCTTTTATTTTACACGTCATAAAAACAAAACAAAACAAAGGATGCCCACACAAAAGACTTGTTTTGGCTTTGAGGCTATCTCACTCTGATTTTGCGCTGAACCCTATCTGGGGGTACAACGCCCTGGCATCACTATCATTGGCTTTGGGAAAGGGGCATTTTGATGATGTTCCTTCGAGACTTTGTAGGCGAGCGTTTTCGAAGGCAAATTACTCTACCTGACGCGGCTTTTATTCGAGCGAGAAAAAGATACCTAGAGGACCCCAAGAGTAAAAATCTCGATACTAATTGAGCCACTCGTTTGAGATCTCTAAAAAGGGGAAGTAGTCGACCTATACCACAATTACTCGTCTAAGCAATTCGGTAATGAGACAGAGGGACTTTCAAGAATGGGCGAGAGAACTGGGCCCGTGGCGGACGCACATCTTTGGAGAGGCGATCCGCCGCTTCCCAAGGTCGAGTCCGTCTCCGTGCACGGCTCTTCTTCCGTCTGCGATGAGTGGTGCCGCAGCAGACGACGTCGTAGACAATACACCGAAGGCTGCAATGCAATTCAGGCGAGCATGCAGAGTGTGAGCTTGGCACAAGCTTCGAGAATAACTATGAGATATGTTACGAGAGCAGGGCAGATTTAACCCTAGCTGTAAATCTGCAAGATGCTGCTACCCTTAAACAAACGTTTTATACGCGAGGGTTTGCGCAGAGAACTACAACTTTACGGCTCCGCGCAGCCTGGAATATAGCTGTTATACTTTGTTTTGGGCTCGAAGTCGAGACGCAGCCGATGCTATATACGAGCAGATGGGAGCAATCAAGCAGCGTGAAAAGTGCACGTCACTAGGCCTTTTCTGTTTATGTTGGGTTCAGCGATGATACAGAACACGTAGAGAAACGCGACGAACAACGTGACGGTGCGCTTTTGACGGTGTCAGATTGGTCTCATCGGCTCGTCGCGTCGGCTGCATCTGGACTTTGGGTGAAACGACGTACGGAGGATAGGCTGTTGGCAAGTCTCAGTAACCGATTATGCTTCGTCATCGTTACGAATGCGTTTCGTCTGCTCGTTCAGCACTGGCTGCCTCCGGGCCTTCGTCCGGGTTCCACGTCATCACCTCCCAGATGGCAATTAACCCGAGAGGCTAACGCGGGGCACTGATTGGACACGAGTGCTGCGTCACAGTTCGGCCGGGACTCGTACCTTCTCGCTGCTGTCGGCACTGCGCATGCGCAGATGCTTTGCCTCGGGCGAATTCGGTTTCTGCGCACGCACAATGCCCACGCCCTGTGTGGGCAAACGCGGGCTCGTTTATAAACAGCGTGTTGATCGATAAAGTAAACCTGCCTGAGGCGCATCTGCAAATAATTCCACCATTATGTCCGCAGGGAATGACGTGTCTTTGTGCACCATGTATAAACAGTGTGACCGCGACGGCTTCCTTATTTAGGCGGTGTTTTGTGTTCCACTCACCAGGGTGTACTGCGTGGTCGAGATGCCCGAGCTGCTGGACTCCGGCTCTTTCCGACTCCGGTCCTCCGTGGTTCGATGGCCGCACTGGCTGCTCCACTCCGACCTCATGGTACGGCCCCTGCGGCGTCGACGAGGATCGATTTCCGGGTTCGTGCCACGGTACGACTGTCGTCCCTTTCAAAGATGCCCACTTCACCGAAAATACGCTTAATTCGTAGAGGAGTAGAGTAGGTATATACTTTCGAGTGGCGCCATCTTTGGTTATTTTCAGTTGCAATCACTCCAGCGCAGTGGCGTCACTAAGGGGAAGGGGGGGGGGGGGGGCACACTGCGCCGGGTGCGGTGCTCAGGGGGTGCAGTTAAGAAGTGAAAGCGTAATGAACATGAACCTCTCTCCAAAGTCTTAACTACTGATGAATATAGTACGTGCAATCAGGTCCTTCAATTTTAAGTGTGCCGCATATTTGTGACAAGTGTGGAAGGGAACGCGGCCTGGTAGTCTTGTCATCATAAGATATGACATGCCCAAGAACAGGTTTCAAAACGGTCGATATTAATGTAGGACACCTTCAATATCTACGGCGTCACTTCGCAAATTTCCAGCGAACCAATAAAAAAAAAATGTAGAGTGCACCAAGAAAACAACAACAACATGGCGTGTTGTTTACTTTGCTTCATAGGGACAACAAAGTACTTTTAGAAAATAAAAAATGAAAGACGTTTACAATTCTCTGTAGTGCCTAATTAGAGCGCATCTTTTGAGGAGGAGGGAGGGTATGCCCCTCCTCCCCCTCCTCTAATCTAGCTTCCCTCCCATTTAGCGGAAAGTTTATCAACATTTTCCCGCTAAATTTAGCGGGAAATGTAGCCAAAAATTTCCCGCTATATTTAGCGGGGAAACTGAATTGGTGTTGACGTCACGTGACGTCAATTTCTCCGCTAAATTTAGCGGGGAAATTTTCCTTTGTGACGTCACGTGTGACGTCATTATGGGAAACGTCGCACATAACGTGTGACGTCATTATGGAAAATGTTCCATAATGCAACGCGCGGTTACACCGACGCAGCTCAACAAGAAAACGGGTGCCCCTGCGCTCTAAAAATTGACAGCGACCTCTATGTTTAACGTTTTATGATGCATGAAATATAGTATTTGAGGACCAATTGTTTAGGTTTGTTTAGAAAACATCAAGCAGTCGTTTCGGGGAATGAAGAACCTATATTTTTATTAATTACGCCGCTATGTTTAACAGGGAAGTTGAGCTCGTACAACGGCCACGTGACATCAATTTTTCCGTTAACTTTAGCAGGAAACCAAATTGGTGCAATAGGTCACGTGACCTATCATCAAAATTGGTAACACGTGACGTCAGGTCGCGTGACACCAATCTCCCGCTAAAATTAGCGGGAAAACGATTGATCTGGTCTCGTGACGTAGGGGCACGTGACATCAATTTCTCCGCCAAATTTAGAGGGAAGCTGAACTCGTGTATAGGTCAAGTTATGTCAATTTTCCCAATAAACTTAGCGGGGACGAAACTCATTTGCAAGTGTCGTGACAACAGGTCACGAGACATCAAGGATCCCGTTAAAAGAGACTGAAAAGTTAAACGGGTGTATGTGTCACGGGACTTCAATTTCCCGCTAAATTTAGCGGAAAATGGACGGACGAACCAGCGGACACATTTTTGGGATATGGGTGTTTCGTTAAAAACCATTTCATGCTTCAAAATTTCGATTATTTTAAAATTTCTAAAGCTGGCCGTCAGCGGTGGAGTAATTTTACACCGATAATCTGAAGAAAATAATACGCAGGAACAAAACAAAACAAAACCATTGCGTTGGGACATTGGGGACTCTGCGTTTCTTTAAAACAAGCAGCGTTTCTTGTGTCTTGCATAGTTAAGCTTACATTCCCAACTAAGCTCCGGCTGGAAACGTTGCAAGGGCCCAGACTACATAACATAAGGCGGTTTCCTTTTTACCTGTTTCTGCTTTAAGAAAAAAAAAAAGTGGATTGACAAGGGTGATGAGCGCATAAAGGAATAGTGACTTTTAGTTTAGAGCGTCTACTAAAGTCACTGAAAATGGAAAGTGTAGTCACTACGGGGAGTGGGACTTGTGGATCTTTTCAAGAATGCAGACCCACCTTTTTCGCGCTGAGGAACTGCTGTTGACTGATTCTGATGACTCATGACTGGATTCATGGCGCTGCCGAAGAAACAAACTCGAGTTAATCGGCTTTAACTAAACTCAATGTTTAACGCGCTCGCGGCGGGACTGGCAAATACCGCGTAAACGAGTCGGCTTTACTTCCTGTCCAGTTGAACGGAAGTATCGCATATGGTTACTCTAAGCGAACTCTCTGGAGTAAGTACGCACTGTATTCTTTTTGTGAAAGTATCTATGAACGTACCTGTATTAAAAGACATTTATAAGCAAAAGTGTACTTATTTCTTGAAATATGAGTGAACCTTTTTTTTTTTTCATCTTGAAGCTAATAGAAACCTTACTCCGGGATATAGGAGCGTTTTGTATAAGGTTCTTGGGAATGGTGCGTATGATCTAAATTGCTATGGTTGTCCAATGCCCCATAATGACATTTTTGTCTTTACTTCGATGCGTTCTTTCTGGGTTCCCAATGAGGGCAATGTTAAGCTAGGCAAGTAGTTTCCTCCTCATTTTCAGAAGAAACAAAAACAAAACAAAAGTGCACCACCTGCTGCAGATAAATTAATTGTAACTTCGCTTTGGCCTAGTTCATTGTTAATTGAACGAGGCCACATCGTGGCGTTGGGGTTCCGATTCGACCTCCGTACTGCAAAGTATAGGGTTCGAACCCTAGGTGACTCATCCCCCGTAAAGCCTTCGGTGCGTTGCTCATAGCCTAAGTTGCTGTCCAACGTAAAACTCCAATGTTGCACCTAATTACACTCTTAAAAAAAAAAAAAACACGTTCTCAAAAGGGTGGAACAAGCAACTTTTACACCCTCAGTCGGGTAAGGAAGGAAGCGCCTTGCTTATTACCTCCTCGAGGGAGACAGACATTAGCGCCCCCTATATAAGACATGAAAATGAACTAGACGCGGAGAAAATTATACAAGCTTGATCATGCTGATAAAGAATGGTAAGCGCAGAATGGTGTGGTAGGCCTTCCAGGAAAGAAGAGGGGGTCGTCTGAACGAGCACCGCCAACCGAAGATTCGATCTCATTTCTGACTCACGCCGTGAGATGGCGCAGCATGACAGGAAATGCCGCAAAGAGCTCGACCGCCGCCTTGCGCAACTGACTTCGCCTTTGGGTGCTTCATTACCGACCCTCGATATCTGAATCGTCAAAGCACTTATCTCACAATATCGAGGTGATGAGTTCAAAAATCTTTCGAACTTGTTGTTGGGCTAGTTGGTGTTGACTGTATTGAACCATGGTTAAAAGCGCTAAAAAAAGACGTACACGAGAAGACGTAGCGCTTGTGTTTGTCTTCTATCTTGTGTACGTCTTTTTTTAGCGCTTTTAACCATGGTTCAATATCGTCTTATAGGGTTCCCTGTGGGCGTAACGTTTTTCGGTGTCGGTTTTTCGTTACAGCCGGCCACTACAGTCGGCTGTTACACCCGGCCTCTACAGCCGAACGTTATAAAATTATCCATGTAAATCGGCTGATAAAACACGTTTTGTGTTAAAAAAAAGTAGGTGCGTCCGTTTCGGAGGTGGTATATTGCAACTGGCGGCTCACTTACCCTGGCAGGAAGTGGGGACTTTCGGGCGGTTCGAATCTTTAGACGTGGCAAGCTGTTGCTCCTCTGCAAGGGACGTCACAGGATCGTTATTAAAAAGAACACGTGAAACGACTAGACTTTACGATCAACATAGGGAACGGCGCCATATTTGCTGCAACACGCTCTTGACCCAAAGGAGCTCAGTGCAGTGACCCGTGGGCAGCACTTCAAGCGATCCGCTGCGCTGTCCGAGATGAAGACGCCAAGTCTCAATTTTACCAGTACCACGGTAAATGCAGAGCATTGCTCTCTACACCGCCAACACATTGAAGAGTCCTCGTCCCGGCAACAAATACGTCAGAGAA